TCCACTGAAGGGCATCTAGGTTGGCTCCACAGTTTAGCTATTGTGAGTTGTGCTGCTATAAACATTGATGTGGCTGTGTCCTTGTAGTATGCTGTTTTTAAGTTCTTTGGGTAGAGTTCGAGGAGAGGAATAGCTGGGTCAAATGGTGGTTCCATTTCCAGATTTCCAAGGAATCTCCATACTACTTTCCATATTGGCTATACCAATTTGCAGTCCCATCAGCAATATATGATTGTACCTTATTCCCCACATTCTCTCCAACATTTATTGTTGTTTTTATTCTTGGTAACTACCATTTGTCTGGAGTGAGATGAAATCATAGATTAGTTTTTATTTACATTTCTCTAATTACTAGAGATGTGGAACATTTTTTCATGTATTTGTTGGTCACTTGTACATGTTCTGTGAAGTGTCTGTTCAGTCCCTTAGCCCACTTATTGATTGGGTTATTGTTTTTTTGTGTGTGTGTGAGTGATGGTGCGGGGGGTGGTTGTATGTTAAGCTTTTTGAGTTCTTTATATATCCTGGAGATTAGTGCTCTATCTGATTTGCATGTGGTTAAGATATTCTTCCACTCTCTAGGCTCTCTTTTCATCTCATTGTTTGTTTCTTTTGCTGAGAAGAAGCTTTTTAGTTTGAATCCATCCTATTTATTGATTCTTTATTTTTTGCACTTTAAGAGTCTTGTTAAGGAAGTCAGTGCCTAATCTGACATGATAAAGATTTGGGCCTGCTTTTTTTTCTCTTAGATGCAGGGTCTCTGGTCTAATTCCTGGATCCTTGATCCACATACAGTTGAGTCTTACGCATGGTGAGAGATAACATTTTTATTTTGATGCATATGGATCTCCATTTTCCCAGCATCATTTGTTTTTTTTAAATTTTTTATTGGTTGTTCAAAACATTACAAAGCTCTTGACATCATATTTCATACATTAGATTCAAGTGGGTTATGAACTCCCATTTTTACCCCGTATACAGATTGCAGTATCACATTGGTTACACATCCATGTTTTTAAATATTGCCATACTACTGACTGTTGTATTCTGCTACCTTTCTATCCCCCCTCCCCTCCCCTCCCATCTTCTCTCTCTACCACATCTACTGTAATTCATTTCTCTCCCTTGTTTTGTTTTTTTCCCTTTCCCCTCACATCCTCTTATATATAATTTTGTATAACAATGAGGGTCTCCTTCCATTTCCATGCAATTTCCCTTCTCTCTCCTTTTCCCTCCCACCTCTCGACCCTGTTTAATGTTAATCTTTTTCTCATGCTCTTCCTCTCTGCTCTGTTCTTAGTTCCAGCACCATTTGTTAAAGAGGCTGTCTTTTTTCCAATGTACGTTTTTGGCACCTTTGTCTACTATGGCACAACTGTATTTATATGGGTTTGTCTTTGTGTCTTCTATTTTGCACCATTGATCTACAGTCTATTTTGGTAACAATACCATGCTGTTTTGTTACTATTGATCTGTAGTAAAATTTAAGTCCTGGTATATTGATGCCACCTGCTTCACTCTTCTTGCTAAGGATTGCTTTAGCAATTCTGGGTCTCTTATTTTCCAGATGAATTTTATGTCTGCTTTTTCTATTTCTATAAGCAATGTCACTGGTATTTTAATTGGAATTGCATTGAATCTTTATAGTGCTTTTGGTAGTATGGCCATTTTGACAATATTAATTCTGCCTATTCAAGAACATGGGAGATCTTTCCATCTTCTAAGGTCTTCTTCAATTTCTTTCTTTAGTGTTCTCTAGTTTTCATTGTAGATATCTTTTCACCTCTTTTGTTGATTCCCAAGTATTTTTTTTTTTGAGTATTGTGAATGGGGTAATTTTCCTAATTTCTCTTTCAAGGACTTCATCATTGATATTGATGGAAATGCATTTGATTTATGGGTATTGATTTTATAACTTTCTACTTTGCTGAATTAATTTACTAGTTTTAGAAGTTTTCTGATGGAATTTTTTGGGCCTTCTAGTTATCGAATCATATAATTGGTAAATAGTGCTAATTTGAGTTCTTCTTTTCCTATATGTTTCCCTTTCATTTCTTTCATCTATCTAATTGCTCTGGCTAAGGTTCAAGGATTATGTAGAAGTGCACAAAGAGGATTATGTAATAGAAGTGGTGAAAGAGAGCATCCCTGTCTTGTTCCAGTTTTTAGAAGGAATGCTTCCAATTTTTCTACATTTAGAATGATGTTGGTCTGGGTTTAGCATAGATAGCTTTTACAATGTTGAAGTAAGTTTCCTGCTGTGCCTCATTTTTCTAGTGTTTTATATATACATCTTGTGTTAAAGCTAGGGGGAAGCTCTCAGTCTTCCAACACTGTGTATGATGATAGCTTTGGGTTTTTGATAAACATCCTTTATAATGTTAAGGAATTTCTCTTTTCCCTAGTTTGCTGAATTTTGTAAATCATGAAGGAGTTTTGAATTTTTCTAAATTTTTTTCTTCATCTGTTGTGATGATCATATAGCCTTGCTTCTCCATTCTCTCAATATAGTGTATCACCTTGATTATTTCCTTATGTTGAATCACATCCTGCATTCCTGGAATAAATCTCACTTAGTCATGGATGTGTGATCCTTTTATTGTGCAGTTAGCTTTGATCTACTATAATTTTGTTAGAATTTCTGCATGTATCTTTATAAGGAATATTGGTGTGTAATTTTCTTTTTTTGGACATAATTACTTGACTTTTGCATCTGTGTTTTGGTCTCTTTGAATGTCAGAAAGTGCTACCTTCTCTTCAATTTTTTTCAATGTTTATTTTTTAATTGCATGTGGACACAATACCTATATTTTATTTATTTATTTTTATGTGGTGCTGAGGCTGGAACCCAGGGCCTCACACTTGCGAGGCGAGCGCTCTACTGCTGAGCCACAACCCCAGCCCCTCTTTGATTTTTTTAAAAAGAAGAATTTGGTGATATTCTTAGGAAATGTTTGGTAGTAATTGCCAGTGAAGCTCTTGGTTCCTGAAGTTTTATTTATTAGGAGATTTTTAAATTACTGACTCAAAGTCTTTACTGTTTACAGGTCTGGTCAATTTTCTTATTTTTCTTGAGTCAGTTGTGATAATTTCTAGATTTGTAGGAGTTTGTTCATTCCATGTATATTATCAAATTTTACTGGGTTCAATTGTTCTTTTATAATCTGTTTCATGAGTAGAATGTCTCTACTTTCATTTCTGCCTTTAGTAATATGAATCATCTTGTTCTGAGTTTATCTAGCTAAAAGTTTGTCAGTTTCGTTATCTTTTTAAAGAAATCACCTGTGGTTTTATTTTTTTTCCATTTTATGGATTTCTTTCTAATCTTCATAAATTTTCTTCCTTTGGGTGGGCTGAGTTGTTTCATCTTTTATTAGTTCTTTCATGTGTAAACCTATGATATTGACTTGAGATCTTTCCTTTTTTATGTACATGTTCCCTGTTATATATTTCCCTCTGAGCACTGATTTGTCCATATCCCATCTATTTTGTTAAGTTTCATTTCCTTTCATCTCAAGGTATTTTCCAATTTCTTTTGTGATTTTTTCTTTGACCCATTGATTATTTAAGTGAGTATTTTAATTTCCATATTTGTGAACTTTTATTTTCCTTTTGTTATTGATTTCTAGCTTTCTTCTATTGTGACCAGAGAAAAGAATTTGAATTATTTCAGTTTTTTTTAATATTATGATAATTAGTTTATGGCATGACATGTTGTGTATTCTTAAAATGTTTTATTTGTACTTGAGAAAAATGTGCATTTTGTTGCTTTCACAGAGTCTAGATGGTTTATAGTGTTTTTCTAGAATTCTGTATTCTGTCTAGATATACTATCCACTATTATAGTAAAGTATTGAAGCTCCAAAGGATTTTGATGGAACTGTCAATTTCTTCCTTCAGCTCTGCAATGTTTGCTTCATCTTTCTGGATAGCTGATTTTTGTTGCATATATGTCTATGAAGGTTATATATATATATTATCTTCTTGAGGTATCGACTTTCATTCAATATGCAATGATTTTGTGTCTTTTAATATGATTTATTTTACAGTCTATTTTATCTGATGTTAACATAGCCAACCAGCTCTTTTTAGATTACTTTTGCATGGAATATCTTTTCCTGTTCTTTCATTTTCACCCTTGTTATATAGTAGCATTTAAGATAAGTCTCAAAAGCAGCATATAGTTAGATCATAGTTTTAATCCATTTTTCCAATCCCTGATTTTGAATTGGTGAGTTTAGTCCATTTACACTGAAGTGATTATTGATAATGAGAAACTGTTTTTTCTGCCATTTTGCTGTGTGTTTTTTATGTCATATATTTTTTGCTCCTCAATTCATCCAATACTGCTGTCTTTTATGATGGATTTTTTCTAATGTAGAATTTGAATGATTTGTTTACTTTTCTGAGTATATTTTTACGTTACTTTCTTAATGGTTACTATAGAATGTACAGTGAATATCCTACAGGTATACTAATGTCATTTGAATTAATACCAATGTACCTTCAACAACACACCTTAACTCTGCTCCTATCCAGATCCATACCGCTCTTTGTTAACATCACAAATTATGTCCTAATATACTGTGTGCCAATTAACATTATTTTATGAATTTTCCTTTTAAATATTTTTGGAGAAAAAGAGGATCTAGAGACCAAAAATACAACCATACTAGCTTTCATATTTATCTATGTAGTTAACTTTACCAGATAGATTTTCATTTGACATTTGAATCCACCCACTTGTGCCTCTGAGTGGTTTCTACTACTAGAGGAAGGTGCTGTGAAATCCCGAGCAACTGCAGGAGGGCGCAGAGACTTTCTCTCTAGGGAGGTTTCTGAGCAGAAAGCAGCTCATCTCATGCCTAGAGATGCTGGGAAGCCATCCCAGGCTGAGTGTTAGAGACACTTAAGGTCCCTTTCTGGCATGGTGGTGAGGGGACCTGGGCTTGGTGTGAACACCTTTGGTCAGTCATTAATCTTTCCTGAACATTCCTTTCTTATTCCTCTTCCTGAGAAGGATAAAGGCCTACAAGAATGGGTTTTAAAGTTATTTTAAACCACAGAACCTTTTACTCAAAGGAGATAACTTCTAAATTGAATATGTAGGCACATGACCAAGTCACTTTCTAAGTACTATATTTTTATTTGGTTTTCCTTCTGTATATTCTTTTTTTTTTTCCAATGCAGAAACCTGTTCTTAGCATGTCTTAGATGCAGGAGTTTCTTTCAGTCCCAAATGCGAAGCTGTGTGACATCCATTGCTTTTTCTTTATAGAAGATCATTATGATTGTGTGGCAGCATGATTTGTACATAAAGGGATGGAAAAGAGCATATCATTGAGAGTTACATAATTGAAAGGGTAGATTTGACTTCATGTCACAAAAAAGTGTAAAATGGTATGTGTGTTTGGGACAAGGGGGCATTAATCTAGAGCTAGAACTTGTGCTAAACTTCCAGTGCCCTATATGAATGGACTGACCCTAATCCAGGGCTGTGGGGTTAGCCCTACATAGGTATACCTTTATTTAATAAAAAGTTACATATTGTATCTATGATCTCCTAGACAAGAATTTCCCACCAAAGAGATTCCCAGGTAGCACTGGGAACATGGATGGGAGCAGTAACCATGATGGCCTGAATATTAGAGCAATGTTTCCATTTTCCCAGGCCCCAGGAACCTCCCTGATTCATGTTGTTCTGTATGGCAGGGGTACAGTAATGGTGGGGATTATGTTTCTCAGCAGTCCAACTGGATGTGTGTGTGTGTGTCTCCTTCAATGTGAAGTGTACATTGGCATTTATATCCACTACTTTGAATACAAATGAAAGTAAGGTTGCCCTGGTAATCTTCCCTATTTGTTTCCCTCTCTCCTAAGAAGGATTCTCTGGTGAATAGTTCAGCAGCTTCACATCCACAAACTAAATGATGAAAGCCACTTCCAGATTTTATAGTCTTTGTCCTAGAGTATCATGCAATATTGTATTCATATTGCCTATAACTAGAAATAAAACTAAGATATGAATTATGAAATCTAATGTATTTCTTCCATAGGTCTATGCCTTAATGGACTGATAGGGAGGGTGGAGCAGGACAATTTGGAAAGTCTCCAACACTGTCCATTCCACTTAGGTATGTTACCATGTTAACAGTATATCCCCAAGTTCTAGCCATTATGAAGTGCTCAATGAGTGTGATCGAAGGGAAAAGCTGTGTTTTACAGTCCTTCTTCAGAAAGACACACTTCTATGGAATTTTCACAACTGAGATAGCCTAGGTGACTAGCAGGGAGTCTCAGGCCGCAGGCTAGCCATGATCAAGAGGGACAAGCTGAAAGAAGCTTAGGCTGCTAAGTGGTCAGGTGGCCAGTGGACCTTGAGAACATGGGAGGACACCAAGCTGAAAGTGATGGGTTGCTTTAGCTGTGCCCAAGTGAAAGAAGGACCAAATGTTCTGGAGAGAGATCCTGCCAGCTAGGTCCTCCATGGGCCCTGCCTGGTGCCAGCACTGCCCTGGTCCTAAGGAGGTCCCCTCTCTCCAGGGCATGAGTGGGCTGGCACCCCAATGGTGAGGCCTGATGGAACCCCACAGGGATCTGGGAGTCCTAGGTGGAGGGATTTGAGTAGGGAGCAGCCCAGATCAGTGTGGCCTGGAGTGGAGTTGATAGAATATGAGCAGGGATGGAGAAGAATGGGCAGCCATGAGGTTGGAGGTCAGGGTGGACCCTGAACTCAGAGGAGGGCAGGGAAGGAATGTAATTCCATGTGAGAATGAGGGGCTATTCAAGGACTGTCCCTCTTAAGG